TGTGTGTTTGTGTGTGTGTGTGTGTGTAGTCCTTACCTGAGGATATTTTCCATTGATCTTTTAGAGAGAGCGGCAGGGAGAGGGAAAGACAGAGAGAAATACCGGTGTGAGAGAAACACATCAATTGGTTGCCTCTTGCACACGCCCCGACCAGGGTCTGGGCCAGGGAAGAGCCTATAACCAAGGTACGTGCTTTTGACCAGAATCGAACTTGGGACCCTTTGGTCTGCAGGCTGACGCTCTATCCACTGAGCCAAACCAACTAGGGCAGTGTGTTTTTTTAATATGCCCACTGGCAAACCTACATCAGTTGATTAAAATCACTTCTAGTGTCTATCCGCTGTTCTGTAGACCTGAAACTAATACAAAATAGTACTGAGTACAAACTGTAATCAGAAAATAAAATTAAAATTAAAAAGTTATCTCAATATTTGAGTGATCTCTGAAACCCAAAATTCTGGGCCCCATTTCTGCAGAGCAAAGTGCCTGTTCCCAGCAGAATTCTGATCAGTATATACATCCTTTCAAAGAGAAAAAAGCCCCACCCCCTGCCCCCATCAATAAACTCAACATTTTTCAGATAGTTTTCAGTTGAATCATAAGGAATTCTGTGTGGGTCACCTCTGAAGATTGCATTCCTTTTATCTCTACCAAGGGGATATTCCTTAAAAGTGATGTGTCAAGTATGCGCTTGCCCTTAATTAGCCAAGTCTCTGAAGGGCCACTCTGTGCCCTTTAATCGGAGCCAGGCTTCGAGGACACTGTCCTTTTTGTGAGACCCCACATGTGACTTCCTGCTCTTTCACCTTTGGAACGCTGGGTCAGGCGCAGCCTTTGGTCCTTAAAAATAAGCGGCTTAAGTGGTGACCTCATCTTAGTTCCTATAATGTAATCGCAGATCAAATAGCCATGATTCATAAGCCAACACAAAGGGGCCCTTTGCTTCCTGACAGCTTCCAAGAACGAGTGGCTAAAAGCCTCATTACCAAGCCTTTCTCCAGATTACCTTTCTGAGTCCCGGATATTAATATCCTTGGAAAGTGATTTCTACAGCTGCTGCTGCTGCTGCTTTGCTGAAAATAACCACGCTTTCCCCCAAACACACATATAATGCTGCCTTCCCGTAAGGAGACTTCTCCGAGATAAATAACAGACATCCTCAACCTGCCAGGAGATGAGCCCATGGAGATGAGTGTCTGTCCCACCTTCTGGCTCAGTGACCAGGTAGTTAAGGTCCCTACTGTGTGCCTGGATCTGAGCTGTGGGCGTTGTACGGAGTCACATTAAGCAAGTACAGGGGACTCCCATTTATGCTCAATGAACACATTGCCTCTCCTTTCTCGCAGGGTTTTGGAAATTTGCCCATCTGCATGGCAAAGACCCACCTTTCTCTTTCTCACCAACCCGACAAGAAAGGGGTACCCAGGGACTTCATCCTACCCATTAGTGACGTCCGGGCCAGCATCGGCGCTGGGTTCATTTACCCGTTGGTCGGAACGGTGAGTAATGCCCTCCAGAAATCCTTCCGTCTGATGTCATGGTGCCTGAAGTGCTGATGCTCGGCCAGCGCTCTGCACAGCAGGTATTGGAAGCACTTAATGGCATTTGCTGCTTTTCTAAGCATTCTCTTCCACCACAAAACACTTCGCCATTGTGGTTTGGATTTTGGGGGGGAGGGGGGTGGCAATGGTGTATTTAGGATCCCTTGAGTCATAAGACTGATTCTGCTTATAGAACACAGAAGGGAATGACTCTGCAGAATTCAGTCTGCCGTTTAGACGGTAGAATGGTTTAGTTTAGTGCTTCTCGGTCTTTTTCACGTCATTGCACTCAAAATGGTAAGAT